TCACGCAGGGCAATGGATAAACGAGCGCGTGTCTTGTCCGCAAATGGTGGAAATCCAGCTCCCAGGATGCCCGCGCCTGCGCGGACATCGCTGACGCATGACACCACATGCACGCACGTTGGCGATCAGACGGTGGCATTGCTGAAGGGAAACAGGCCACCAGCGCGCTTGACACAGTGCTCGTGACCATAGCGAATTGGGCTGAACACCATCATCTTCAGCTGCGCGCGGGCGCTATCGCACGTCTCGCCTGCACGCACGCGCGCTTATTCCGTTAGAGGGGATGAGCGCCTGGGAGGCGGGGCAGCGCGGCGAGACGGCAATTGACAACGCAGTGGAAACGGATGGCAAGGCGAGGAGGACGCACTGCAGCGATTCACACATCGCGCGCAATAGACCAGCGCGAGGAAGAGAAGAAGGGAGGAGGAGGAGGAGGAGGAGGAGGAGGAGGAGGAGGAGGATAAGAACGATGAGGAGGAGGACGAAGCGAAGCACGAGCAATGAGGGACCAGAGGCAGGAGGAGGAGGAGAAAGAAGACCAGGCGGAGGAGGAGGAAGGGGACGAGCGCGGGAGGAGGAAAAGAAGGCGGAGCAGGAACCGGGGGATCAGAAGCAGGAGGAGGACCAGGCGGAAGAGGAGGAGGAGGAAGAGGAGCAACAGCAGCAACAGCAGCTGCATGGCCACGAATCCATCGATTCACATGTTATGTTGGCTTTTATTGGTCGGGGGTGCCGCCAAACACTGCCATTCACAGGGTTTGTCTGTGGGTTCCCTTTTGGTCTTCAGGAGATCTGCAAGGCCAATGGATTGCGCAGTTCGCAGATTTTCTGAAAGCCGCAAAAAATGCGAATGGCAGTGTTCGGCGGCGCCCTTGACCGAAAAAACAGAAAAACCTGTGGCAAGCATGGTTTCGCGGCCGCCCCCTTCCCGCCAGTTTTTCTCGGCAAAGGAGGAGGAGGAAGAAGAGGAGGAGGAGGAGGAGAGGAAAGGAAAGGAAAGGAAGAGGCGGAAAGAAGGAGGAGGAGGAGGAGGAGGAAGAGGAGGAGAAGAAGGAGGAACGGAGAGAGAGAGAGAGAGAGAGCTAGACAGAGAGGAAGCACAGCGATAGGTCTACGCGGGGTGCTGGGGGGCTGACCATATAGTTCAGCCTGCTCGGGGCGGCTGACCATATATATATACACACATACATACATACATACATACATACATACATACATACATACATACATACATACATACATACATACATACATACATACATACATACATGTACATATACATACTCAAATGCATACATATATTCATACCAACAAACATGCATATATATATATATATATATATGTATATACAGGCATGTACAACATATATGCTGTCATTGCTCGAGCGTGCGCATGTATCTCGGCGATGCCAGCGCCAGAAAAGCTGGACCATCTTGAAACATATTGGACATATTGAGGAAAAAACACGCACGAAACCAAGCAACGTAAGGGGCATTCACGTCCGAGCGACGGTAGGATAGATGTATACACACAGACTCCGTGGGGCGGTGGGGTGGCCTAAGTAGTTCAAGAAGTGGTGTATGTGGCGCCGCCGGCTGTTCATTCGGCTTGTTTGGTGTTGCAGGGTCCACTAGGTGAGTCATTTGGTTTGTTGGTGTTCGCGCGTTTGCTCCCAACCATCCTGTATGTGGGGTCCTCGCTTTGGATCAGCAGCGCCCCGTGTAACTTCACCTTCCTCATCCTCCTCCCCTGCCTCCTTCCTCCCATCCCTGCATTTGCCCTCTGCATGTCAGCATCGTCATCATCACCATCGTCACCATCAGAATCAGCACCAGCAGCATCACCGTCATCCGCCGAATTGGGGAGCTCCACCGTGGCAGAAGCGCCTCCGCTGCGCCGGCTGGCCTCGGGGACCCACACACACACACGATGCCGGCGCGTGGGCCCCAGACAGGACGGTCCAGCACCCATGTGCAAGCGACGTGTTGCGAGCCACAGGGCGCCAACCACGGAGCAGGCACCAGCTGCAGGCCAGCACGGGGCGCCAACCACTGAACACCCAGCACAGGGCACCACAGGGCACCAAACATCGGGCGCGAAGCACGATCTGCCCAGGGCCTTAAGAGAGCTCAAGAGGGCCCCAATAGGCTCCCAAGCGGGCCCGAAGAGGAGGGGGAGGAGGAGGAGGAGGAGGAGGAGCAGGGTTTGTGCCACACGGCACCAGATATAAGGCACCAGCCATAGGACACAATAGGGCACCAGCCCTAGGACACTGGCGCAACACCGCCGACAGCGCCGCGCAGGGCGGGCCCCAGAAAGCACAGAATGAACCCCTTAGTGCAAGCATTGATCGGTGAATAAATGTTGAGAGGTCCGCGCGGTGACAGGTAACTGCCGACCCGACAAATCCGCGCGGGATTCCTAACGTTTATTGTGTGTCGTTGGGTGGTCTTCTATGGACGGGTCTTGTGCTCGTCTTTCAACCACATCGGGGCGGTCTCGGTCAACTTCGGGGGATCCTTCGACCTTCTCGGGGCTCTCCGAGGGCGCTCGGAAGAGTCCTTGAAGCCATCGTGGACCGACAAGCGTGGAACGGTTTTTCAGTGCATTGGGCCTGCCTCCGGGGTCGGTCAAAAGTATGATTACGTGAGCCCCCCTGTTTGGGCTCCCAGTGGGCGTTCCCGGGACGCCTTGGGCGCGATGACCAAGCTCTCCAGAAGAGGCGCGGCTGAACCATCTTGGGGCGGTCGTGGGTCATATCGTGCGGTCCCCCCTTGCCCTCTTGATAACTCCTTGGGCCTTCTTGGGTCGTATTGTAGCCGACTGGAGGCCTCCAAAGCTTGCTTGAGGCCATCTTAGGGCGAGAGGCGAAGGATCCAACGCTACGCATCTGCGTATTGCACTGGGGCGAAGCCTATTCTCAGATAATGCACGCCGCGGACGGGAGGAAGTTGAAGCTCCCCACAGGGCACGATCCGTTTCAGGGTTGCGCCGAGTTGCGGCAGGGGCCGCACGCGCGCAATTCGGTTGGTGCCCCGCTGGCGGAGCTCCCTGTGGGGCGCGACGTGTGTGAGGGGTGCGCCGAGTGCCCGCGGGTGGGGCCCCCTGCCGGGCACCCGCAGTGCGAGGTGTGTGCCGAATTGGGCGGGTGGACACCATGGGAACGCCCCCACGGGAGCCGCGGCGGGAGGTCCGTGCGAGCGGCGTGCGGCAATGGGGCGCCACGGGAACGCCCCCGCTGGGGCCGCAAGGTGGAGCTCCCTCTGGGGCACGGGAGGGTGTGCCGAAACGGGGCTGTGGACCGCAGCCCTCCAGTCCGCCTCCCCGAGCTCGAACTCGCCGGCACGCTGGGCCCCAGCTGCCGCCGAAGCCATCGCGGCACGGAGGGGCACCGGAATGGTGCGCCACAGGAGCGCCATAGCCCCAGGCCGAAGCGGAGCTCCCTGCGCGCGTCGACAGGGACATGCGGGCAGCAGCAGCAGCAGCAGCAGCAGCAGCAGCAGCAGCAGCAGCAGCAGCGGCAGCAGCAGCAGCAGCAGCAGCAGCAGCAGCACAGGCCGACAGCACGGCAGCGGCAGCTGCAGCGCTGCCGGCAGCGCCAGCGCCGGCGGCCACGTCTGCAGCAGCTGCCGGCAGCGCCAGCGCCGGCGGCCACGTCTGCGGCAGCAGCAGCAGCAGCAGCAGCAGCAGCACAGGCCGACAGCACGGCAGCGGCAGCTGCAGCGCTGCCGGCAGCGCCAGCGCCGGCGGCCACGTCTGCGGCAGCAGCAGCAGCAGCAGCAGCAGCAGCAGCAGCAGCAGCAGCACAGGCCGACAGCACGGCAGCGGCAGCTGCAGCGCTGCCGGCAGCGCCAGCGCCGGCGGCCACGTCTGCGGCAGCAGCAGCAGCAGCAGCAGCAGCAGCAGCAGCAGCAGCAGCACAGGCCGACAGCACGGCAGCGGCAGCTGCAGCGCTGCCGGCAGCGCCAGCGCCGGCGGCCACGTCTGCGGCAGCAGCAGCAGCAGCAGCAGCAGCAGCAGCAGCGGCAGTGCAAGAACGGGGGAGGGGCGGGAGCAATGGATAGCGCAGCGGCAGCAGCAGCAGCAGCGCCAGGGCAGAAGCGAGGGGTGCAACGGGCAGCGAAGCGGCCGCTGCAGCAGCAGCAGCAGCAGCAGCAGCAGCAGCAGCAGCAGGGCAGAAGCAGGGGCAACGAGCAGCGCAGCGGCAGGAAGGGGAGGAAGGGGAGGAAGGAAGGAAGGAAGGAGCGGGACGCGCGGCGCAGGGGACAGCCAGCGAAGGCCCAGCAGCACGGAGGGCGTGGGGGGGGGTGGGAGCAGCGGCCACCCGCATTGGGAGGCAGCCCCGCGCTCCTGGCATGCCTCGGGGTGCCCTTGTCGGGAGCCCCCAGGATCACCGAGCGCGTTCCACTACTCGCAAAGTGCCTTCTCGCAAACGTTAGAGAACACATGTCCGCCTCTATGGAATGGATCGTAAATCCACCGCGGCGGATCCAGGCCATGTGCGAGTAGTTACTTGGCGAGTATTGGAACGAGCTTTTCCACAGGAGGTGCGGTGACCGCACGTCTTCTGCACTTGGGTCGTTCTCCGAGGATGTCTCGGGCGACTGGGCCTCCAGGTTTGCCAACACCGTGCGGTGACGGACCGTGCGGTGAGGTCTTTGGGGATTCCGCGATCACCGCACCGTGTTGGGACCCCTAACGGTGGTTCGGCGGCGGTTGTTGTGGGCGTGCCCCGTCGGCGCTTGCCATGCGCACTGATGTTTGCGCCTCATCGCCATCTTGCGCCGTCAAGCGGGATCAGAAGGGTGAGTAGCTCTCCGAGGGCAACATTTGGTCCTGGCATATTCGGCACATCCTTAGCCGTTACCGCTTCAACTTGGCGTCCAAGGTCTTTGCACCTTAACCGCGCGCATCCTATGATCCTGTCGCGCTGTTTCCCCTTCCCGTCCTCCCTCTCCTCCCTCTTGCTTGTCCCCTCTTCACGTCCACTTGGCTGCCAGGTGCTCCTTCTCATTCTGTTGTTCGTCTTCGGGGTTGTCTTCGCCAGCCAGATGAAGGCAGCCGTGTGCGACATGCCCGATGAGGCGCGATTGGGCCCAACCAAGCTGCAAAATTTCAGGGGCTGTCTTCCTACATGGGTTGTCGACTGGAGAATAACTCGTCAAATCCCATGATGATTCGCAGGCGAATTCTCATATTGATATGTTCCTCCTTCTTCTCATTCATCCTCCTCCTCCTCCATTGTTTGTCCTTGTGAATAACTCCTCCCTGTCGCACCCAGAGGCCAGTCGGAAGGGCGGGCCGGGCGTTTCGCGTGAGACGCCCCTACCATGTATTAGCCTGAATCTTGGAAACTGATTACAGCTTCACACATGGAGGGCGGGTCGTCTTCAAAATGTGGCTCTCGCCGCAGTGCCGCGCACATTCGTTGTAAAAAGTTGTAAGAGCTTCACGGATTGAGGGCGGGTCGTTTTCAAGATGTGGCTGTCGCCTTAGCGACGCGCACGTTCGTTGTAAGAAGCTGTAAGAGTGTCACATATTGAGAGCGGGTCGTTTTCAACATGTGGCTCTCGCCGCAGCGCCGCGCACATTCGTTTGTAAACTGTACAAGAGCTTCATTGACTGAGGGCGGCTCATTTTCAAAATGTGGCTCTCGCTTTAGCGCCGCGCACATTCGTTCTGAAAACGTGCAAGAGCTTCACGGACTGAGGGCGGCTCCTTTTCAAGATGCGGTCCTCACTTTTCTCGCAGCGCGCACAAGTCGTATAACGGGGAGCCGGGCCCCCGGCCCCGGGGGCGGCCCACTTTTTCAAAGCTCCCCCCTTGTCATTCAGGAGAAGAAAAAACACACAGACACAATTAATCGGCGATTCCCAGAAAATATTTGGAAATATGGGAAGTGGGGGAGAAGACAAAAACCCAGAAAGTATTGCAAATATTGGGGATATTGTTATTTGTGTGTATTTTTTTGTGTGTCCCAGTTCCCCTTCAGTCCTGTTTTTAGTCCCAGGGGTGGGCCGACCCTTTTCGGGGCGCCTCGGGGCCGGGGCCCGCTGGTTGGGAGGCCGCACATGGGCCCCCCCCGAGCGCTCAGACAGCCGATCCTGCGGTCCACGACGGCCCCGAGCCACCCCGACGACGGCCTCCAGGGGTCCCAGACGGCCCAAGGAGCTTTCCAAACGGACCAAAAGACACCCAAGAGGCGCCAAGAGGAGCCCGACGAGCGCCCAAAGAGGCCAAAATCATAGATTCTCTTTGGATTTGTTTGAAGGATTTGGGCGTCCTTGCCGCTTCGGACTTCCGACGCTCCTAGACAGCTCAAGAGGCGCCCACGACCGCCCCGAAACGACTCAAGAGGGGTCCAAGAAAGCCCGAAGACGGCGTCAGAGACCTTTCGGGAGCCCCAAGATGACTCGAGAGGGCCCCAGGACGGCTCAAGAGGCCCCCCAAGACGGCCCAAGAGGGGCCCCAGAGCGGCCCCAAAGAGTTCCAAGAGGGGGAACACGAACCCACAATACCAGCTTTCCTTCCCCCCTCGGGCTCCCAGGAGGCCCAAAGAGGCCCCGACGAGGCACTTCGAGATTCCCAAGAGGCCCCTCAAGAGACCCCAAGGAGCCCCAAAACGGCCCCCAAGAGGCTTCACAGCCGCCCTCGACGAGGTTCCCGAGAGGCTTCCCGCGAGGGACCAACGAACACCCAAGAGGCCTCTGACACACAGCCCAGGTACCTTGGCGGGATGGTCCGAAGTCATATATATATATGTATATATCTATACATATATATACATATATATACATGCATGCATACATACATGAATGCATACATACATGAATGCATACCTACATGCCTGCACATGTACATGTGTACACGCATGCATGCATACATACACACGTGTATATATATACCATTACTTACATACTTACATACGTACATTCATAAATGTATACATACATACATACATACATAAAATAACATGCATGTATACATACACACGTACATGCATACACACATGCATGCATGCATGCATACATACATGCATACATGCATGGATACATATATATATATATACATGCATGTAAACGTATATGCATATATGCATGCATGCATGCATGCATACGTACACAGATACATACATGGTGTGAAATAGATGAAAGATGTATGTGTAGGTCTATAAATAGAGTTGCATATATGTGCCGACGTACATACATACATCCTACATATATCGGTAACCAGACATACGTACCGCTTGTGTCTGTCGACACGCATGTAGAAACTATGCACACACGGAAGGTCCCGGCCCCGAGGCACCAGGCAATGCGGAGCCAGTTTCGAACACCACAGTTCTTCTCTGATCTCTTTCATCCCCAGACGACGCATCGTAGAAGCCCCCAGAGACCCCTTTCTGAAGGGAACTCCCGAGTCAGCTTGGCAGTACCCAACGGCAATCTGCGATGACAGATCCTCGAGTGCGACTGGAACCTGAGAGTGCGCGAAGCGCGCGCGTGGCTCTAGTTCGCTCTGAGAATGTGTAAGAGCTTCGCAGATGATCATGGTTAACCTTCCAGAAGGGATGTTTTCGAACGATTCAGGACTTTCAGGGCGCAACAGTTATGTTGACTCGTGGCGTTCGAGTCTCAGGACTGGTTTTCTGGTACGGTTCAGAATCGTCAAGACGCGACAGTCAGGTCGGCACGTAACCTTTGAGTCCTAAGAATGGTGTTTTGACACGCTCACGGAATTTTATGCGGTTGTCTTCCAACGAGGCCTATGAAGAGGGAGCTTGGAGCGAGGTTGCATCCCAACATCGTTGACGAGTCTTGAGTTTACACTACTCCTCCTCGGCCTCCTTCTCACCCTCCTCCTCATCCTCATCCTCCTCTTCTTCCTCCTCCTCCTCATCCCCCGCCTCCCCCTCTCCCTCCTACACGTCCTCTCCCTCCTCCTCCTCCGCCTGCTCCTGCTCCACCTCATCATCCTCCTCCTACTCCTCTTCCTCCTCCTCCTCCCTCCTCTTCTACGCTCGTCTTCTCCTCCTCCTCCCTCTTCTCGTCTTCCTCCCTCCTCCCTTCCTCCTCCTCGTGCAGCCTCCTCTTCCTCCTCCTCCTCCTCCTCCTTGTCCTCCCACCCTGCACCTGTTCATCTTCATCCTAACTCTCTCTCTTCCCTCTCATTCTTCTTCCCTCTTCTTTCCACTTCTCATTATGCTGGTCCTCCTGCTCCTCCTCCTCCTCCTCCTCACCCCCCTCATCCTCGACAACAGTGTCGAGAGCATGTGCAGACCTCCGACGTGCTGATTTTTCATAATGTGGGCCCCAGGAGGGCTCGACCCCTTCCGCAAGACAACCATTTCATTCCGAGTGGTTTTCACGGTCCCGAGGCGCGGTAAGGGTCCGAAGATTGCCGAAAATGCCTCCTCGTGTTTTTTGTCGTGACTCGAGGGGTCTGGGTGCCTTGCCTCTCAGTCCCAGGTGAAAGTCGTGAACTCGGTCGACAGGTGCGCCCAGATTTTCACGCTGTTCGGCAGCGTCACCGAGTCCAGCAAGTCCCTGCTACTGTACGGCCCCGCAGGGGGAGAAAGGAGGAGGAGGAGGAGGGGGAGGAGGAGGAGGAGGAGGAGGAGGGGGAGGAGGAGGAGGAGGAGTAGGAGGAGGGAGGAGGAGGAGGAGGAGAGGGGGAGGCGGAGGATGAGGAGGAGGAGGCACGAGGAGGCACGAGGAGGAGGCAGGGAGGAGGAGGAGGAGGAGGAGGAGGAGGAGGAGGAGGAGGAGGGAGGAGGGTGAGCTGGAGGAGGAGGAGGGGGGAGGGAGGGGGAAGAGAAGGAGGCGTGAGAGTGGAGGAGGTGCTGGAGGAGGAGGAGGAGGAGGAGGAGGAGGAGGAGGAGGACCTCCCAGCAGGGCAAACCTGGAAATTCCTCAACCTTTCTGTCTGCGGCCCCCATCAGGATATCCAGGCTGGCTCGAAATTGTGCCCGCGATTTCCCACGCAGTGGTTTCACTAAGGGGTCATTGCGGCAGATTCGTTTCGTGTCGACGCGGCAGCAACTCCAGCGCGGGCGCTCAAGGTTGAACGCCGCCAGTGGGCCGGGACTGTCCAACATCAAATGACCTGCGTCATCGCAGAGTCACGAAAGCTCAAGGTTGACCCCGATCCCCAGGGCTGGGTTTTCATCCCGAGCTGTGTTTGGACGGTCCTGGGGCTCGGCGAGGGCCCCCAGGGGCCAAAAACGGCCAAAAACCTCCCGGCGCGATTCCGTCAACACGCTGAGAATTTGTCGCATTCGAGCTCTGATGAGCGCACCCTGCAGGCTGGGCTCTCGTCAGGAGGAAAAGATAGACACAGACACAAGTAAACATTGATTCCCATGCAAGATGACGGAAAATATTGGAAATGCAGGGGAAGACGCAAATCCAGAAAATGCTCCAAAAAATGAGCCCCAGAATTTGTAATCATTCGTGTGTGTGTGTGTGTGTGTCTCCCTGGGCGCCTTTACCTGTCGGATTTGGTCGACATCTGGACGAGATCTGGACGAAAGGGCGAGGAGAGGGTGGCCGAAACCTGGACGAAGCCCGGTCGAAACCCAGCACACGACAGGGCCGCGGGGGCCCACGGAGGCTCGCCCGGAGGCCCGCCGAGGCCCGCGGGCGGGCGGTGGGCGCCCATCGAGCCGTCCAGGCGGTGGGCGCCTGCTGGTGGGCCGCTTGCCCGCCGGGGCCCTCGCGGTGGGCGCACTTGGTGTTAAGTCGGGCGCCTCCCCTACATAGGGATTTTCGACGAAAAACCAGAAATACCCCAAAAATGACCCCAAAAAGGTCAAAAATATTCCAAAAGTAGTCCCCAGACTATTTTTGGAATATTTTTTGATTATTTGGGGGGTATTTCTTATTTTTCGTCGAAAATCCCCCTGTAGGAGGACAGGCCCGACTTAAACTTCGTGGACCCCCGCGGTGGGCGCCGCCGAGTCCTGGTGGGCCTCGTCGCCGGATCTCGGCGGCGGGCGCCACCGAGGCATACCCTTCAGTCGGGCCTGTCCGTGTAGAGGAGGAGTAGTCAGAGACAGTCCAAACATAGTCAGGGGATGATTTTTTACCCTTTTGGCGTACTTTGGGTGCATTTTTGGAGTGCTCTTTATTTTTCGTCCAAGACACGCCTGTAGGGGGACACGCCCGACCTGAGCATACCATCCAGGGCAGCGTCAGGGTGCAAGTTTCAAGGTCCGAGGTGTGAGGTCTTTTCGGGCGTCTTCATCGGTTCCTGGCGGCCCTCCAGCCTTGGAGTGGTCTCCAGCAGCCTGCGCCCCGCAGAGGGCGTTCTAGAGGGGGCCCGGATCGTCTCGAACGGCCGCTGGAGAGCGGAGCAATAAACCGAAAACCTGGGGGCGAGGTTACTCCGGATTCCATAACAAAGTAGGGGGGATCAAATTCGGGGGGGGGTCTAATTTGAGCTGTCTTGGAGGGTTCGGGGGGGGTCTGGGCACGGGGCCCCCCTTTGATGGATAGTCTGGGGGGTCTAAATCTTCTCGTCTGGGAAGGTTGTGACCCCCTCCCTTTTATTACAAAATCTGGAGTAGGGGGATGGGCTCAGGGGGGACGCGTCGCTCATAGGATCGCCGAGAGAGGTCCGATGGCCCGCCCCGCCCAGGAGCGTGCGGATTCGCTACTTACGGGGGGCGCGTCGCCGATCTGCCGGCGACGTGTCGCCGATTCCGGGTCGACGTTTCCCCCTCCCCGGGAGGCCTCTGAGGGCCGATTGTGAACGGATGTGGGCCGGGCGGGGGGGCCGTTGATGTCTCAAGTGACATTCCGCCGAGTCCGCCCGTCCGCCATTGTGAGACGGCTCACGGTGCGCAGACGACCGCGAGTGGAGTCTATTGATGTCGCCGTGCCTCCTAGAGCCCCTGGGACTCCAAGAGGCCGCTGGGTTCCCCGCAGCGCTCCAAACGCTCGGAACCTGAACCCTTCAACTGGGGAAGGTTGAAAAAAAAAAAAAAAAAACATTCCGCCGAGTAAGGTCGCACCCACGGGGTCACACCCAGCCCGCAGGGTCGCACCCATTGGATCCAACTCTTGGGGCAAGGGCGGTTCAGACAGGGCATCGCTTTCGAGTGATCCAGAGGATGTCATCTCTCCCTTGTCGGAAGGCCGGCGGAGGCGACGGAAGCAAGCCGGGGGTGGTTCCGCCAGCAGAAGCTGGCGGAAGTCAAACACGACCCTCCAAGACAGGACACTTGTTTGGCAGTCGGGAGTTCTGGAGCGAAACGTGTGGTCTCAGTCATAGGGTCAACCCATCGGGTTCCTCCCATAAGTAGGTTGCATCCCACATGCTGGACCCATCAAGTTGCACCCTGCAAGTTACACCCCGTGGACTGCACCCTGTAAGTTACACCCCATACGTTGCACCCCAGGCGTTGCACGACTAAGTTGCACCCTATAAGCTGCGCCCCATCAGCTGCACATGTTGCACCTGTTTTTTAACACGAGATCACTGCATGGGATCCACGCGCCAACAGCATGTTGCATCCTACGTAAATGTTTTGCGCCTGGCAAAAGCTGCGCAAGAGGCCAAGCAAGAATTACCCAGATGGGCCAGCTCTGGCCGAGGCGCTACTAAGAGCTTCATGATGTGACCGAGAACGCTCCCACAGGATGTCAGCAGAAGCTAGAAGGAAGCTCAGGAACTCAGGACAAGGGAATGTGGTCCGTAGGAAGCCCACTGCATGCACTTGCTTGGAGAGGTTGAAGTCGCAACTGCTGCGAGGCAGCCGAGGCGGCAGCCCGCAGCCTGGCCTCACAGCGCAAGCAAGAGGTGCCATGTAGTGGCGGATGCGGGCGCTTGAAGCCCTGGTAAGGTTGGTTGCCCCAGTAGCTTCATGTGTGGCACCGGGGCTGCGGGCCCGATCAGGGAGGTTGTCTAGGAAGGCCCAAGAGCAGACGACAGAGAGTTCAGAGAATGGTCAGGCTTCTCTCATTATGTGCCCTACAGATGGGTGATGGAGACGTAGAAGTTGCTGAAGTGTGTGGCACGAACTGGTGGGGCAGCGGGCTGATTTCCCTACGCGCTGCCCAGGCATGCACATTGGCGATGCACGGAGAAACCTAATCTTAAAGGGCGGCGCATGAAGGGCGTCTTCGGCGGAAGGTGGGAGAAGGCCGGCGGCAGTAAAGCGAGGGCGGCTCCGCCAGCAGAAGGTCGGCTGAAGCGGGTGGAAGAAAAGGTGCGTTTTCAATTGATGGCGATATGCATAGATTCGGTGTTTCCATAGCCAGCCTGGACCATGATGGTGAGGGACGGGCGGAGACGAGCGTGGTGCAGCTGGGATGTTTGTAAAGTGTTTCCTTTCACGCAGCAGGGCACGAACATGCTAGGATTGAGCTTGGCCTGCCCGCGGTGAACCTGCATTCCTGGCTCCTAGACATCGACGTGTTGGGCAAGCGGCCTCTGGCCCGTCCCGCCACCGTGCCCAGGGGTTCTCTAGGTGGCATCTCGCGACACCTGGGGTCTCTGGAGGCTTCTGGGGTTTCTGAGGTCTTATTGGGTAGGAATGGTCTTGTTCCCCCAACCCAGCGAACCCTGCGAGGCCTTGCATGATCGAGTGGTTTTACACCATGCGTTGGGAGTGTTGTTAGGGGACCAGCTTACCGACGTAGAGCCACAAAACTTTAGCATGTTATACAGACCTGGTCTTTCGGGATCGATTCCCTAGTCTGAATATTGGAGCGGCCAGTTCGCGCTCCAGGCCGTCTGGATCGGGCTGCAGGTCTGAGGGATCTGCCGATTGCCACATGATTGCCTCGCTTAAGGTTTGAACGCAGTGTGCGAGAAGGGTCAAGACACATGTAGCGTTTCTTCGGTGACGCTTGAGACTCGCACCAATGATGAAAACGCAGTGGGGGAAGACAAAAGCCTCGCCCCCGCCCTCAAGCCCCCTCCCTACTCTCGTTTGTAACCTGGCTCCTGGCCGCCCGAAGGCACTTTCTTGGACAGCCCGGCCATGGTGGCGACCCTGTTCTGGGACAACAGACAGTCCTACCTGGTGGGGTGTAGCGCGTGCTTCCCTCCTCCCTTGGTGCGGCAGGTTCACGCCGCCTCGACCGGGCGGCGACGCTGGCGCGGGCGTTCCAGGTTGGGTGCACATGCGAAAGAACCTGCGGCACGGAACCCATACGAACAATTAGTTATTTACTCGCTTCGCTTATTCCGCCGGCCCATTTTGCCTCGCCATGTCGTATGTCGGGGTGTTGTTGTCCGCAATTTTTCGGAGGCGGTGGGTGGCGGGTCAGAGGCTTCACAGATGTTGGTTGAGCTCTCGTGGTTGGCCTCTCTGGGGCCTTTCGGAGGCAGTTTTGAGGCCTCTTGGGAGCCGTGTTGGGGTCTCTTGGGGCCTCTTGGGGGCCTCTTGGGGCTTCTTGGGGTGCCTCTTGGGGGCCCCTTGGGGCCTCTTGGGGGCCTCTTGGGGCTGAAGGCTGGACTTGTCCGTTCCTGGTTCCCTTCTTGGGCCCCTCTTGGGGCCGTTTTGGAGCTCTCTTGGGACGTCTTGGGCGCCTCTTGGGCTGTCTTGTGACCATATTGGGTTGTGTTGAGATTTTCTTGGAGGCTTCGTGGGCCGTCTTGGAGCTCCGGTAAGCCGAAAAAGCGAGAACGCCAAAAATTGTCAGAAACTGACGGAAAATCACTGATTTCTGCCGCTGTGGGCCCTCTTGGGAGGTCTCTTGAAGGCCTCTTGGGGCGTCTTGAGGGCGCTTTGGGCTGTCTGGAGGCAATCTTTGGCGTCGTGGATCGCTCCTGGACCGTGTCAGACCACGTTGAGCTCTCTTGGAGGCCACTTGAAGCGCTACTGGAGCGCTCTTGGGAGCCTGTTGGGGCCTGGCCGGGACCTGCCCGGGACCTGCCCGGGATTTTGCCCGGACTTTGCTGGGATTTGCGGGGGTGTTTTTCGTCCGGGGACCCCCACGGGCGGCCCCGCGCGCGCGAACTAGAAATATTGCTCACCAGCCACCAGAGATATTAGCACGCCCTTGGCCCGTTGGGCCGGCGAATTCTGGGGACCTCAGAGCGGACATCGGCCAAGATCTAACGGTTTACAGAATTCGGGGTCGTATCGTCAAGGCAGGAAGTTGCCGTGCCTCCCCTCTGCAATTGTTTATACCTCTTACTGCCGCTGCAATTACAAATCCGTGCGCCTTGCCGAAACGAACAATGCCAGATTGCAGTGGTCCCTTTGCATTGGAGGTGTAATGCACACGCCGACGATGACATATGAGGCAATTCGCTGTCAGGTGTCATGCAGACATGGAAGCGGGAGCACCACCCCAACCTCCCAGGCTGATGTTCCCAGATCGTGCAGCTTTCTTGCCCAGGTGCATGCGCCACATCCGCCACCGTGTCAGCCAAGCATTGTGTGTGGCAACTCTTCGAGCACCGCCCAGAAGTCCGTCACATGTGATATTTCTCGTCCCCACGTCTTGAGATGCTCTTATGGGGCTTCTTTGGGCCGTCTTCCTGGCTGTCCGGGGCTCCTGTGGGGCACCCCCTCCTCGCTTTTCGTGACGGGGGGGAGGTGCAGGAGGGAGAGCCAGGCTCGAGGCTCTGAGATGCGAGGTCCTCCTCTCGCCTCTCCCTCCTCTCGTTCCTCGCCTTCCTTGATTGGGGGGAGGAAGATCGAGGTGCGAGGGCATCCTCCTCACTCGTCCTTCCTCCTCATCCTCTTTGAGGGGAGATGGAGGGGGGAGGGGGGAGGGGGATCTAGGTGCGAGAGCTTCCTCCTCCCCGCCCTTCCTCCTCGCCTCATCGCCATCCTTGAGGGGGTGAGGGAGAGGATCGAAGTGCGAGGGAAGTGGAGGGAGGAGAAAGAGGATCGAAGTTCGAGTGGAGGGGAGGAGGGTGATCGAGGTGCGAGGTGGAGGGGAGGAGGATAAGGAGGAGGCGCGCAAGGGGAGGAGGAGGAGGAGGAGGAGGAGGAGGAGGAGGAGGAGGACACATGCCCGAGCATCAACGGTTCGACGGCCTCCTCATCCTCCCTCCTCCTCCCCCCTCCTACCCTCCTCGTCCTCATCCCTGAGCCTCGAGCGAGGAAAAGAAGGAGAAGAAGGGAACCGAGGTGCGACGGGAGGGGAGGGCCAGAGGAAGAGGAGGATCAAAGTTTCGAAGCCTCATCTCCTCCTCCTCCTCCTCCTCCTCCTCCTCCTCCTCCTCCTCCTCCTCCTCCTCCTCCCTCACTCTCTCTGGGGGGTGGGGAAGGCTCCAGACTCGAAGCTCTGAGTTTCGAGTGCATGCTTTTCCCTCCTCTACCCGTTCTCTCCTCGCCCGTCTGGAGGGGGGAGGGTCGAGGTGCGAGGGGAGGGAGTAGGGAGTAGCAAGGAGGATGAAAGGTTCCAAGGCCTCCTCCTGTCTCCTTTGCCTAATTGAGGGGTTTGGGGGAAGTTTCATGTTCGAAGCTCTAAGATTCGGGGGCCTCCTCCCAGGAGGAGGAGGAGGTCGAGGAGGAGCAGGAGGAGGAGGAGAGAGGAGGGGGACTCCAGGTTCGATGGGGGGGGGCTCCTGCCTCCTCCTCCCTCCCCTCCTCTCCCTCCTCGTCCTTTTAGAGGGGGGGGTTAAGGAAGATCCAGTTCCGAGGAGCTAAACTTCAAGAGCCTCCTCATTCCCCCTCGCCCTCCTCGGTGGCAGATGAGGATCGGGGTGCGAAGTAATGGAGACGAAGAGGTAGGGAATGAGAAATGACGTCCGAGGGGAGGGCCTCCCCCTCCTCATGATCTTCCTTATTCTCCCTCCTCCTCCTCCTCCCTCCCTCCTCCTCCTCCTCCTCCTCCCTCCTCCTCCTCCCTCCTCCTCCTCCTCCTCCACCTTCTCCTCCTGCTCCTCCCTGCTCCTCCTCCCCTTCGTCCTCCTCCGCCTCCTCCTCCTCCTCCACCTCCTCCTCCTCCTCCTCCACCTCCTCCTCCTCCTCCTCATCCTCTCCTTCTTCTCCCTACTCACAGTTTGTCAGGCGCATGTTGGCGGGTCCGAGAACGGCTCCAGTGGGTCGACGTCTCCCGTCACAGGAAATTCAAGCCCGAATCCGCGTCTTTGGTGCCGTCACAACGCGATAAGGCGACCCACCAGCCCTATCTATAGATCTCCATATACAGCTGCGTATATACACTCAATTGGTTAGCTTCCTCACTTCTTTCAGTTCCCTATTCTCCCTCCATATGTATCCCTCCCGATCTCTTTCTCCCGTGCTAGTATAGTGTCTCCCTGTGTCTCCCTCTCTCTCTGTCTCTCTCTATATATATATATCTGTATATGTGTACCCCAACATACGCATCTGCATCTTATATATAGACATGTACGATATAGATATAGATATATATATATATATATATATATATATATATATATACATATATATACAGATGTGTCAGAGTGAGGGGGGCAAACGGTCATTCACTGTCCCTGGGCGCGTGGCTGAAGTAATATTCTGCGGTGCGGAGTGTTGTTGTTGGTGGTGGTGGCGTTGTTGTTGTTCGTGTGGTTGTTGTGTGTTGTTTGTTGCTTGTTGCTTGTTGCTTGTTGTCGTCGTCCTCCCCGCGACCTGGCCCGCGACCCACTCGCGACCAACCCACGACCCACCCGGGGACCTGCCCGCGACCCATCCGCGACCCAGCCACATGGCTTTAACGAAAAAAAAGCGCTTGCGGCGAGCTCGTTATATGATTTGTAAAAAGTATGCGCCTGCGGCGGGGTTCTTCAGAGCCTCGCAGACTGCCGACGTCCCCGCCGCCCCCTCACTCTCATCCGCAAGTGTGGGGTGCTACGTACGCACTCTGCACTCTATGTTGTCTCTCTATTCTCCACTCTGGGATCCCGTGAACCCAGCCGCACACAATGATCCGTGGCAGTTGTCTGCCGAGCCTTTCCAACATGAGCAGCCAAGTGCTGGAAACCCAGGCACCCGCCGAAAGCGACGGTGGCGCAAAACCATTGCGGACTCCGCACCAGCAGACTCTGCAGCCTCTGCCTCTAGCAGCCTCTGCCCCCGCGCCCACTTTTCGGTTGACGCAGCAGGCATGCAGAGTACTATCGTAAACGTAATCGCCATCATAGCGGTCTTCGTCATCGCCGTCGTCTTTGATGCCGCCACAACGCGATATGGCGATCCACTAGCCCTATCTATAGATCTCCATATACGGCTGCATATATACACTCAATTGGTTAGCTTCCTCACTTCTTTCAGTTCAGTTCCCTTATTCTCCCTCCTTATGTATCCCTCCCGATCTCTTTCTCTCGTGCTATTATCGTGTCTCCCTATGTCTCCCTCTCTCTCTCTCGCTCTCTATCTCTATATATATACACCCCAACATACGCATATACATGTTATATTTAGACATGTACGATATATTAATTGATACATATATATACACATATAGTAATAGGCAGCCTCTGCCCCTAGGCAGCCTCTGCCCCATGGGCAGCCTCTGGCCTCTGGCAGGTGCCGCTCTCATTGCTGCCGCGGGCCTCCGCCGAAGGCCCCCCTGGGCTTCCGGGGCGGCGGCGGCGGGAGCGGCGCGGGGCCCGGCGCGCGCCTCAGGCGTGGGTGTTCTTGCTGTTCATCTTCCTGAGCAGGACCCCGCTTTCCAGAGCCTGAGGAAATGGAGGAGGAGGAGGAGGGAAGGAGGAGGAGGGAAGGAGGAGGAGGAAGGAGGAGGGAGGAGGAGGAGGGAGGAGGAAGGAGGGGAGGAGGAGGAGGAGGAAGGAGGAGAGGAGGAGAGGAGGAGGAGGATCGAGGCGGACTGGGGATCGAGCAGGAGGAGGACGGAGGAGGACCGAGGAGGGCCCCGTCCCGCCGAAGATCCCAAGGGAGTCCTTCAGGGGTCCCGTCTCCTGAAGTTGACCTGGTTGGCATCTCGCCATCGGCGGAGGTCGGCGGAGGGGCAACACTTGGCGGCTTCGCCGGCAAAGGCACGCCGGCGTACCCAGGGCTTCCCAGAGACGGCCACATCGCTGTTGATTTTGCCGAAGATCGCTATTCTCCGTCAGGGATCCTATCGTTTCGTGGCGCCTTGGGACGGGGCGTTACTTGGGTCAGGGTTCGGTCTGAATTGATGGTGGAGAAGGGGCTCCCTAGCAGTTCACGCGCCAGCGCTCGCATGCCAGCAGCAGTACAGGCCGAGACAGATGTCACGAAAGGCAGAACCGAGGCGCAGCGTAAAACGGAGGCATGCTATTCTGTAGTAGTGCACCTACTATCTCGTTGCTCATAATATTGAGCCTCTCTCAGCTCGCGCCGCTCCTTCACATCTCCTCTGCATGACTCACTATGCCGGCCCAATCAGTGATCTGTCGGCCTAGCACTCAGCCAGGCCTTCGTAAAAGTAGAGACCGCTTGCAGCTTCACTGTGCTGAACATGTCTTTGGCTCAGCGGCCTGAGCGCTTGAGGGAGTCTCGATCACCAATATCTTAGAGTGACTCTTGCGCCTCTGAGGGTCACAAGGGGATCGGTCGGCCGGCGACTGCCAAATAGGTCAACAAGGGGGTGGGAACAGGTTTGAGGAGTCTTGGGATTAATCACAGCGTCTGCAGGTCGCCAAGTAAAGGCGTTGGTATCTGGATCCGCCTCACGAACATAAAGAAAGTGCATCGGCAGCAAAGGATTCGTTTAAGATGTGTTTCGCGCTGTTTGGTCTAGGTCTGGACACCTACACGTGCGGCTTCTGCAAACGGAACTTCCGATGTCAGATTCTGGAGCTCCTCCCACGAGAACCCATTTCATGTCGGGCAATTGAGAGCCGACTCGGGGCGCGCAATATTATCCGTGACGTTACTTTTGTTATTTTCTCCAGGGCAGGTTCGGGACAAGACCCAGCCCTGGGGCGGGCGGGGGGGGTGGGGGGCGCAGCGCCATGAGGTACCGTGTTTCCTCGGACACTAGCAGGCCACCTTGCATGCAGAGGGGGCCCTGGCAAACTGCAAGAGAGAACCCGAAATCACGCAGAAGTCGAAAATTGCCTTGCCCGTTGACGCGCGTTAGTATAATTTCGAAGGGCGGCTGCGCGGGGGAGTGCCATTCAAAAAGTCTTTGACGCGAGTTTCACCACCTATTCCACAGTGGACCCCTAACCTGACAGTCGTAACCCATAGGGTGCAATCTGCAGCGTGCCATGTGTGGTGGAATATGTTTGGTGCAACTTGCCTGATGCATTCTACGCGGTGCAGCCCACATAGTGCAAAATATAGGGTGCAACCCATGTGGTGCAATCTACGTATTGCAGTCTGGTGTCATCGATGTAGTGCAACATATATGGTGTGACACCTATATGGCGTAATCCGCGGGGTGAAACTCACGTTTGCAGAACCTGGAGCCGCCAGCCCCAATTCTCGAGCACTAATCCGACCCACCCGCCTACGACTTGTTGGCAAAATTCAACTGGCGCAGTGACGCGAGGACGACTCCTGTGCAGATCCGTGACTCGGGCGGCCGAGTGACGGAGGTGACGACGGCATCAGCGATGATGACGATGACGATGATGATGATGATGATGATGATGATGATGATGGTGATGATGGTGATGGTGATGGTGATGATAATGATGATGTTGATAATGATGATGATGAAGATGGTTGAGATGGTGATGATGGTGGTGATGATGGTGATGAAGATGATGGTGATGATGGTGACGATGGTGATGACGATGACGATGGCAACGACGATGACGAAGACGATGGTGATGAAGATGATTATGATGATGATGATTGATCCTCATGATGATGTTGATGATGATGATGATGATGATGATGGTGGTGACGGCGATGGTGGTGGTGATGATGATGTTGATGATGTTGATGGTGATGATGCTGATGATAATGTTGATGATGCTGGTGCTGGTGATGATGATGGTGATGATGATGGTGATGATCTTTGCAAAGCCAGTGGTGGCTGGTGCATGCCTGCTTGAACGCACTTGTCTTGGAATGGTTAGAAAGCCCTGGTTTCGCGATTGCTTCGGCCTGCGCGCGGGAGGCGCGCGGGTGTGGCCCGCATGGGATGGTTGGGCAAAGTTGGCGGTGGCGCGATGACGATTGGATTATTATTTTTCACGCCACGCCTGGCGTATCCCCACCAGGCCATAATTCGGAGACCTTACCCGCCAGAGAGGACGGGAGAAGGGGCGAAGAGGGACATGGACTGAAACAACGCAGGGGTGGACCTAAACGGTGGTTTGGAGATTTCGTGGGCCGTTTTCGTTTCGATCTCGTTTTGCGGCACAAGCGGACTGGAGACAAAACGAGGGAAAACGAAAACAGAAGGAAAACGGAAAACACCGTTTCGGCTCAGCCTTGGAACAAAGCGGACAACCAGGGTGAACAGAGAGATCTTTGGGAGCAAGGGGGTGGTCTTGGAAGGCCTCTTCGGGCCATCCTTGGGGCCCGCGCGGGGGCGAGGGCAGGAGGAGGAGGACGAGGAGAGGGAGGAGGAAGAAGACGGCGACGACGACGACGGCGACGACCACGACGACCACGACGACGAGGAAGGGTAGGAAAAGACAAAGGAAGACGATGAGGGCAAGGACGAGGACGAGGACGAGAAGGATGAGGAGAACAACAAGGACGAGGACAGAGCCCTCAAAATCGCCTCTTGGAGCCCTCTTGGGACTCTGCTGGGTGATCTCTTGGGGTCCTCTTGGGGATCTGTTGGGGGTCTCTCGTGGGCCTCCAGGGAGCCCTGGAGGCCTCTTGGGGCCATCCTGTAGGGCGCCGATCAAATGAGGAGGGGGGGGGCCCAATTTCCGTCCCTCCCCCACTGGAGCCATCGGAATCGCCTCTTGGGACGTTCTCGGGGCGCTACTGGGGCCGCTCTCGGGCGCCACTGGGGCCGTGCAGAGGACTTCCTGGGCCCCTCTGCCACTATCTATTCTTCTCTGCTCCTGGCACTGCGGTTGGCATGACAGGCGTGGATTCTGCCGTTCAGTCTCAGATGCATGCGAATTGCAGTTGATTTTTGTCCACGTCTCGACCTCCGCCGTCGCAATTCTCATGTTTCAGTGCCCTCCAACTCCAGCAGCTCGTTGCCTCAGGAGGTAGTTGCTCCCAGTCCGTACTTGCAGGTGTCTGTGCCACTGAAGAAAAACAAGACAAAACAAAACAAAAACAGCAACAACAAAAAAACCTCTTGGGCCTCTCTCAGGCCATCTCGGGGCCATCTTGGGGCTTCAAGATCGCATGGGAAGCGAAAAGGCGATAAGGCAAAACTCACTGACTTTCCTCAGTTTGTTGAAGGATGTTGGCCTCTTCGGGGGTCCTGAGGGGGCTTCGAGAGCACCTGGAACTGTCTTGTGGCCCTCGTCGGGCCTCTCGGAAGTATGTCGGAAGCTATATTGGACCATCGCCGGCTACATTGAGCCATCTCGGAGGTCATCTTGGAGCATTGGCGGCCCTCTTGGAGCCATCTTGGGCGAACAAGGACCCTCTAACACGTAGCGGCCCCCGCGAAAACAAGTCAAGGAGGGGAGGGAGAGGGCACCCCTTCCCCGAAGGGAAGATGGTTTTTAGGAGTGATATCGCTAGACCACCTTAGCCCAAAGGGCTGGTGGGATTTCGACATGCGCGCACGGCCCGGGACAGTTTGTTGGGTTGTCTTATGCTTTCAGCGAGCGAGAGCGCACGGAAATATGGCACCTCTGATTCATAACAATATGTTGTGGTTGCTATTTGAAAAACCATATTCAAGCCAATAGCGCTGTAAACATGTTGGGACGTGCGCGCGCGTGTGACACGCATGCCATAGTCTGGCACGGAGCCATTGAAACACAATTCTAAGATAAAAGCCAACGCCCCACTTGAGTATTGCATGACAGGGGTATGGGGGGGAATCAATGGATTGGCTGGAATGATCGAGTTTCTTTTAGGGTAGATGATCGCTACTAACTAATATGAAACCCATGCGCGGAGGTGAACTGGTAAGTCCAGCCTCGGCATGCGGTAGAGTCCAGTATTCTGCAGCTGCTAAATGGCACAGTGATGGCGTAACTGTGTGGTGAGTTCTACACACTGCAAATTGTGTGGTGCAATATACGTGCTGCCATCTGTGATGTATAGCCTGCGTGGTGCAATCTGAACGTTGCGTGTGGCAAGATCTGCGCAGTGCAGAGTGTGTTGTGCGATGATATGTGAGCGGGACCCTTCTTGGACAGTACCCTACGACACACAAACGTCAGCGCACAGGTGGGCCCTGATCTGCGTGCCACTACCGCACCCCGAGCAACCTGGGTCATCATACCCAGCGCACAGAACACGAGTGAGAACTTTCAGTGTTTGCAAAGTTTGAGGGGAAGAGGGGATCGCCGGGAGAAGATGGCCTGGGGAGTTTCGGGGCTCGGCCAACGGTTGGTGCCAGGTCCACGACGCACAGACATTCGACGAAGCAAAGCAAGCCGGGCTTGCGAGGGCTAAGTACGCTTGAGTGAGCTACTCGGTTTCGACCAAGCGACTTCCTTTTACTCGCGAGAGAGTGTTGAGTATTCCCCGTTTGCCAGCGGAAATCGTCGTGGGACGGGGCCGGGGTTGGCACGACTCGGTTCTGCTCGTGTGTTTGTGGGTTGGAGGTCGACGCGTGCGATTCCCAACATGAGTACTGATATCCGACACATACGAACCACGCCCTCCGCACGCGCACACGCATTACATAAGCCACACACATGATTGCATCAACGCCCCGCAGAAGGGAACAGCTGACGGGCCGCTCTGGGTTGAACGATTTTCCTCAGAATCCGGAACAAGCGTCACCGGCGGGCCCCAGGCGGGCCACGGATTGGACCCCCAGGCTCCCAGTACGCCATGACGCCGCGGGCCCTTGGCCCGTGCTTTATCAGCCCTCCCCCGTGGGGCAAAAAAAAAGAGAGAGAGAATCCGAGGATTAACGCAGAGAGAGATGCTCGCCCTGAACCAACCAAGGCGCGCCCGTCATGCAGCTGGTTCGCGTTAGCCGCAACCTGTCGATCAACAGCTATTTATTGGCACACCCACACACACTTTGAAGCCGGCGGCGCAGAGGGTCCTCAAGCGCGAGCAGCAGATGGAAGTGCGAATTGCGATCGAGTATTGTCGAAGGCGCAGCGTTCAAAGCATCGCACACTGCAACATGCAAGCGATGGGTGTGTTAGAGGAACTGTAAATACAAACGAAACATGCAGCGGCCAGAAGACGAGGAGCGCATTCAACTCAAAGTGAACTGAAACGCGACAGCCAGGGGTTAATTGCGGCCACTGAATCACCACAGCGGTGTTAGAAAGTGAAGCGCAAGGAGACACGCTGCTAGGCAGATTGGTGGTGTCCGACCTAGCGGCCCTGCCAGGCAGATTGGTAAGGTGTGTACCTACAGACTAGCAACAACAAGACCGCGATGATGGGTGAAGTAAGGCCAACGGCATGGCCACGCCAGCACAGCGTATCCTACGGAAGTTGCGTCGTCGGACGCGCCCACTACTTCAAACATTGGAGATGAGATGCATGAATAACAAGCCTTGCACGCACAACCTGCCAGTTGACATAACAAATGTCATATCACAAAACCTGTAAAGACTCACAGAGATGGACAAGATCCATCCACCGTGCCACTTGCAAGGGCAAACGAGCGCGGCAAGTTGGCCACCCAGCCAGACAACAGCCGTCACAATACGGAAAAAGACACCTACACACACACACACACACACACGCGCACGCACGGAAGAGGCATCCGCACACGTAATGTGTCGGCATGCCAGATATGTTGCAATAGATGACCTGGAAGGCCTGAAGAAACTAGGCCTGCCCATCGGTATGGCGGCTATGTGGTCGCCGTCGTGTGGGTGGCGGTGGCGCTCTGGCGGCTACATCGCCGCCGTCGCCGGCTCGTCGCCGCCCATCGTCTGGGCCTCACATAGTTCTTCGTTTAACAAAGAAGAAAACTATAAGAAAACTACAAATCAATCCTCACCACCCACCACCCCCGGGTTTACCGGCCCCCCTGGGATAGTACGCGTACATACGTGCATACCCCATTCCTCATCGCAGATATGAATTCAAACCTTTCCAGGGAGTGCTGTGATCGCCCCCCTTTCATCCTTGTCAAACAAAACTATGCGCGGGCATTCGTTCATCAAACATCACCCGCTTCCAAACATCACTCGTCATGTATACGTATGTGTACATACACCTATATATTTGTTTATATATTAATGTATATATACATTCATACATACATACATTCATACATACATACATATATCGCAAAATCAGCACGCGCGCGTCGTCGCTCGCGCATGCCGAAACCTTGCAAAAAAACGCAGGTTTCGTAGGAATTCCAAGATAGAGATACACAAAGAAACAACACAAAAACAAAAACAATACCAATTATGTCAAAAAAGAAAACAGCACAAAAGACGTGTTGCGACATGGTGTTTCGAAAAAAGCGTGCGCGCTCTCATGCGAATCCCTGGTAAAAGTTACGTTTCCCTACATATTCATCAAATGCGAGCAAGCGGGCCTCTCTCGCGCGCGTGTCGAATTGCTTCGAAGACCCTTGCGCGCTTGCTGGGTGGGCACGATCCGTGCCAAACAACGCCATGCGGGCCACCCGCGCCCGTCGGCCGCGCGCGCATGCCGAGATCTTTCCAATAGTTTACCAGCGGCACGTGGACATCATCATCGCCATCGGCGTGATCAACATCGGCGCCGTCATTGGCCTTGCCGTCGTCATCGCCATCATGTTCACCAACATCCCTGCTATCATTATCGTGTCTGCCCCGACGTCGCCATGATTCCGCGCCCGCCCGAGTTACGCGCGTCAGCGCGGCCTGCGAGAAGCGGTCAGCGCCACCGCGGCCGAATCGGTCGCGCCAGACTAGTTGGCCAGTCTGCACGCGAACTTGCGCGCGCTAGCGCGGTCACAGCGATGCGCCAGGCAGCGCCAAGCAGTCACCGCAATCACCGCCGCATGGATTTTGCAAACCATGTTGCGGGTGCGTGGGTGGGATGATTGTGCCAGCTGTGGAGTTGACAGTTCATTGCGAAGAAGTTTCATTGCACCACAGAGACTGCACCACCTAGATTGTTCCACGTAGATCGCCCAACCTATATCGCACCACAGACATTGCACGGCATAGATCGCACAACATGTGTTGCACGACATAGATGGCACAACATAGGTCGCACCACATACGTTGCACCGTTCATATAGGACAACGTTGACTGCACCACATGTGATGCCCCACATAGATCGCACAACGCACATTCTTAGAAGCAATATTTTTGGGGCCCACGTTGTCTCACATATGTATACATATATATATGTGAGTGTAAACAAACACGCGTTGAGTCACCGTTCTTTTCAATAGGTATATGCCCGTATCGTACACTGCATTCACGCAGTGCGTGTGAAGCATGTATATACGGCCACATCGGTCAAATTATGTTCGCGAGGACTAGTAAGGGCACATTTTGTGTGGCAACGGTTTTCTGATCAAGCATACGACAAAGCGAATATCCTAGAACAGGTTCGCGGGGTGCGAATTGGTCACCCCGACAACATGAACATTCGCGTCCTCCTCCTTTCACTTTCGAGCCAGTGCGTCTATCGGGCGATGTTGATCGCCACCTGTTCTGCATTAGGTACAGAACACCGACACTTGTCTGGATGTACGGAAAAGCTAAAGGTATTAGCGCGGACCGAATGCCAGGCAGCGTTCTCACAAGGCATCAGACATAGTTTCCACAGGGTATCTCATTTGTCCTCCCACTCCTGCTCCACAAAGAATCCGCCCTCAAGTGGCTCACCCGCCTTGGCTCTAAGGTTGATTGGTATTGTGTGCGAGGCCTCCATGCGCTTGCCGTCGCTGACGCTGCAGCATGCTGTTCTTTCTCGCATCATGAATATTGTTTGGGAATGTCGACGCTCCGCGATGGACAATGTCACACATGCAGTCGCCAGTTCGGTCGGATGATTTTTCCATTCGTGTCCGCAGCGAGGTCGTTGCTACTGACAGGGTCGCACTGCCTGCACAGGGCTAGACCCATACCCGTGCAAGCGCCATGGGTTTGCTTCAAGACTCTGGTTTGAACCTGTTCTGCCGGACACTCGCATCGCCATTTTATGTTGCGTTGGTGTGTGCATTTCGATGCCTTGGTTGATCGGCGTTGCAGTCGATCATCATACAACACGTCTGCAGGCATCTTGGCTCAGTGCCCTACTCGAAGAGCAGGGCAAGCTGCGGCAGCGCAGGTCTGCACACAGGCCGTCTCTTGTGAATGAGTCTCTACGTGTGCGTCAACCGGGCCCAAGTGGCGACCCACGATGCGCCCGGCGCGTCTGTGCACAAGAGGAGCCTGCTCGAGATGGAGAATTTGCAAGCCTTTGGCAGTTCTTGCAGCCCCTCTTCTTGGGTGGCGTCACAGGCTTTGGTGGCGGCCGCTTTTGGGGCCTGGTGGCACCACTCGCGAGCCCCCGGGGCAATTACTTCAGCATGGGGCCACCAGAACCCGGCGTTCCGATGGATTTGAATTAACCAGAAGTGCGGTTGAACACATTATTGCATTCGAGTGTGTTCCGATTGTGAGCAAATTATTTTGAAAATTGTCTGGCGAATTCTGACGATCGGCCGATGCGTCATCCACAGCGTTGAAGGGCCTGGAGGGTGAGTCCTTTGCTTTTGCATTAGATTACACACATCACTAATGCACCGTATATTGTTGTACGAGTTGCGGGGGGGAGGGCTTGTCTTGAACGTGAGAATTGTTTGTAGGAGGTCGGAACACAAAATGTGCTCAACGCCCAGTGGCTTCCAGCGCGTCGCAGCTCAACTCATCAGCATGCAGTCTGTGCCGGAAACCCCCATTGGACGCTATGAAGTGATGTCAGCGGAACTGACAGGTGCCATCTGGTTTTCCCGAATGACATTGGGAGATTTGCTCATCCCAAACACTCTGCGCCACAAAGTCTAGTCAGAGTGGGGGGTCGAAAGGTCTTACACTGTCCCTGAGTGCATGGCTGGAGTGGGGTTCCGTGGTACGGGTTGCTGTTATTGTTGTCGCCGTCGCCCCCCCACCCGCGCCGCGATCCACCCTCGACCTGCCGGCGACCTACCCGTGACCCACCCGCGATTTTGTTTCAACCAAGTCGACGTTTGCGGCGGGCCGACCCACCCACCAACCCAACGACGCCAGTGGCGGGTTGTTTTGCATTGGTGTTGGAGAACACCATTGTGCTCCCCGTATCGATTCGTCATGCCCCCCCCTCCGTGTTCCTTGCCTATGCCGTTATTTTGTTGCATGTTCCATCTATGTTTGTTGTCAGTGCCATTCGCCGACTGGTGGCCCTCGAAGAGCGGCTTTGCGGATATTAAGCGACAAGAAGCCCGGTACGTCAAGGACTTGACCGACCGAATAGATTTAGAGGTTGCAGGGGCGCTACAAAAGTTGCTTCTACGATTAAAGATGTATATGTCTCTCTCCTGCTCTCTCTCTCTCTCTCATTCTCTCTCTCTCTCTCTCTCTCGTTCTCTTTATTTTTCTCTCTCTCTCTCTCTTTTGTCTCTCTCTCTCTGTCTCTCTATATATATATATATAACATTGCTCTCTCTCTCTCTCTCTCTCTCTCTCTCTCTCTCTATATTTATTGTTCCTTCTCTCTCTTTCTCTCTCTCTCTCTCTCTCTCTTTCCCTCTCTCTCTCTCTCTCTGTATATATATAACATTACGTCTTCTCTCTCTCTCTTTCCATGTATCTTGCTCCCTCTCTCTCCCTTTCTCTCCCTCTCTCTCTCTCTCTCTCTCTCTCTCTTTTCTCTCTCTCTCTCTCTGTCTCTCTCTCTCTCTCTCTACATATTCAGTATACACATATCCCTTGTGGGTACAGCACGGCGGGCACGTAAGGCGGACTGGATGAGATCGGCCACGTGCTGGAGAAACATGAGGTACATGTATACATGTATAGATACATGTGTGCACATGTATAGCTGCATGTGTGTATAAGTGCGAATGTTTATGTATGCATCGCCCTTCTCCCCTTCTGCGTGTTCCCTGGGCGACCACATCACATGCCAAATTCCGAATCATATTGGCAATTGGTTTTCAAGTCGGATAAATTTCCCACACGGAATTCCTATGTGGCAAAGGCAAGCCAGACGTCCAGCAAAGGTGAGCTCGTGTGAAGAATGCACAGCAGGACTCAGACGACTCCTGAGTCCCATACTTCGTAGGAGCCCCTGGGACTGTGATCTGTTGTTCCTCAAACAGCGTCTCAGTTGAGGGGCTTGGCGGTTGTTTGAGAAGCAGTGTGGCAAACGCTTCATCGTGTCTGCTCCTTCTCTCCATCACAGCAACACCGTCAACACCTGTGTCTGCTCAAGATGTATTCGTGCGTGCTTCGCGGCGCGAAGCGCGCGAGGCGCGAGTTGGGGTGAGGGGGCAGCCGGAAAAGCAGGTCATTGCTCTCACATGTCATTTTTCTCGTACCCTTCGACGACGACAAGGGCGGCGCCAGCATGCCGAGAGAGAGAGAGATGGCTGCCCACTGCACCGCTGCCGCCTCCTGCGAAGCCGCGGCCTCGCCCTCGCTCTGCCTCTCCGCCGTCTGCCTCTCGCCGCCCCCTGGCCGACAGGTCAACTCCCAGCAGGCGCTGCGGAAGCACGTCTCCAACGCGGGCCGCATGGTGGCGAGCCCCCCGGCGCGCGCGCGGCGCCGCCGCACGGCTCCCGGCGGCTCCCGCTCGCGCCTTCCGTGCCGACCCGTAACTCTCCCGCGGATGTCGACGGGCCCCAAGCACGTCGCTTTCGACACCGCCTGATCCCGAGGCTTTGCCTCCTCCTGGCCTCGCCGTGAGGCTGCGCTCCTTCCCTTCCCCCCCTCTTTGTTAATTCAAGCTTCGCGCGGCCCGCTTAGCTTCGACCGGAAGAGGTGCGCTCTCGACCCGCGAATCAAAATGTCGAGGGGCCTCAGGGCGCAGTGAGAGGCTCGGCCCAGCAGCAAAGACCTGAGGCCAAGGTCTCTCTGGGCTCGGGTAGGGGCCCGGCTCCCCAGGTCCAGGGTCGAAGTCGGGGAGCCTCGTCCTGGCCGAGGCTCGCAAGGGGCCAGACAAGCCCATTCGTTCATCATTCGGCTTCTCTTCTGGTAGCACGATGACTGTACTCTCGCCCTTGCGGGCTTCTCCACTGGTCCGCCTTCTCTCCGCACTCCCTCTCCGCTCAGTCCGCATTGACGGCAGTGCGCAAGAGTTCGAGATCGATCTTGCTCGTGCGCTCTGAAGACGGCTACACCAAGCCGTTGTGGTGAGACGCGGGGCGATCGCTCGACTGGTTTGGCAAGTCGAGGTGCGCGGGGCTCAGACCCCGGCGTCCTGCTGTTTGTCACAGCGCGTCCCCAAAGGCCAACGGCAGCGACAAGCCGGCGGGTCAGATGTTCTCGATGCGCCGTATGTCTGGGCTTGGTCCTCCTCCAGACCCCCAGCGTCATGATTCTTTCTTGCAGCGTCGATCCCCAGAAGTCTCGACCCCGTCCCCAGGACGAGCGTTCCACCCCGAACCGTTCTCTCGACGGTCCCAGGGCCCACTGAGGGCCCCCCGAGGCCGCAGACCGATCCAAAAACCGTCCATCGCATTCTTTGTCCGCGACGAGAGGACGTCAGGGGACGACGAGCCCCCGAAGGCCGAAGATGCTCGAATGCTTTCCGCCGCAGCATGTTCACAGCGAGAGGCTGTGAGGGGACCGACGGCGGCGGCGGCGGCGGCGGCAGCCGCGCCGAGGCGCAGCAGCAGCAGCGCTTCCGGGACTGGAACCAGACCTGGGCCGCGAGGGCGGAGGCCGCCCAGCAGTTCCGCTACCACCAGGCGCAGCAGAGGCCCCCGGAAGCAGGGAAAACTCGGGGGCTCTTCCAGCCCAGACATGCGACGTCCTGATTATTTTGCCATGCGGGGCCTTCGGAAGTCCTGACCCTTTCCCCGGGACCGGTTTTTCATCCTGCGTCGTCGTTTGATGGTCCCGAGGCCCGGCGAGGGCCCCCCGAGGCCGACAATTGGCCAACTACTTCCCGTCCTGATTTTTGTCACAACGCGATCATGTGTAGGAGAAGGGGGGTGATGACAAGGGGGGGGGGGGGGGAATCGCAGCGGGGGCCGTGAGGTCTCCCCAGGATCTCTCACGGTTCCCCTTTTGTGTTTTCGGTGCGCCCTTTGGCCCCCTGCCCTGTCCGCGCCCATGCACGATTCGGGCCATGAGTTGCGACTCCCCCCCCTGAACGCCCTCCTGCTCCCCCACCTCCTGCTCCTCCTCCTCCCCCACCTCCTCCTCCTCCTCCTCCTCCTCCTCCTCCTCCTCCTCCTCCTCCTCTCCTGAACACCCCCGAGGTAACAGGGGGAGCACGACTATCTGTGAGTGATTGTCTCGTCCACTTGGTTTTGTTCTCGTGAGTGCGTTTGACCTACCGTGCGGGCGTGCCGGGGGGAGGAGGAGGGGGGACAAGGGCCCAGCCCCCACGCGTCGTGAAAAGACCACGACGGGAGGTTTTTCACAATGTTCGGCCCAGGGGGCCCTTACCAGGCCTCGAGACCGTCAACAAAAACGAAAAAACTGGTCTTGGGTTCGGCCTTTTCGGCCTTCGGGGGATCGTCGTCCCCTGACGTCCTCTCGTCGCGGACAAAAAATGCGATGGACGGTTTTTGGATCGGTCTGCGGCCTCGGGGGGCCCTCAGTGGGCCCTGGGACCGTCGAGAGAACGGTTCGGGGTGGAACGCTCGTCCTGGGGACGGGGTCGAGACTTCTGGGGATCGACGCTGCAAGAAAGAATCGTGACGCTGGGGGTCTGGAGGAGGACCAAGCCCAGACATCCGGCGCATCGAGAACATCTGACCCGCCGGCTTGTCGCTGGCGTTGGCCTTTGGGGACCAGGTTTGGGACTCGGGATGGAAAAGTCGGCCCTGGGGAGGAAGAGGTAAAGATCCGACACGACTGGGTTGGCTTCTCTGGTCTGGCCTCGCGGGCGGGGTTTAGGCAGTTCTAGCTGTGCAGCTGACTGCGGCTCTGCGGCTCATGGAGTGCCGAGCGCTCAGATCGCGAGATTGCAACTGCGCGAAAGGCAAGAGTGACGGCGCCCTCAAGGGGGTGGGACGAGGGGGGCGGCCTTCTAAGAAGGCTGCTAGGCCGTGAAGAAAGGCATGGGGGACTTCTTAGAGGCCCGCCTGGCTTCTACAGTCGGTGCCCTGAAGAAGGAGCCCTTTTGGTTGGGGAGGGGCTCCGCGTTCCTTAAGTGTGTCGCAGCTTGCCTCAGGTTTTCCTTATGCTTTCGATCGGAAACCGAAGTTTAACTTATGGAAAAAAAGGGGCCTCGTTCCTTATTTTGGGTTCCTTAGGTCAAGGCCCCGACTGTACGAATCCTTCGCTGCGGCCTCCTGGGCCTTCTAAGAAGGCCCCTCCCTTCCGAGACGCCCCGCCGCCTTCTTACACGGCCGCCCCGCCCAGCGCCGCCACCTCTGCGGGCGCCTCCAATAAGAGTAGGCTCCCGTCGGGCGGCGCTCACATGTCGTGCCAAGCGAAGAGGGCCCAGCGGGCTTTTACGGACTTCGACACGTGTCAGCCACGCGCAGAGGGGGGTGGGGGGAGGGGGGAGGGCTTCTAGAAGCACCCCTGCTTCTTAGAAGGCGCGGGCCTTCTCTATAGATGTAAGGCCGGCGCCTTCTAAGAAGCAGCCTGCTTCTAAGAAGCCCCCCCCCCTCCCCACACCCCCTTGTGCGCGCCGCCAAACGTGGTCCCCCGGGACGCGCACCAGGGCAAGTCCAGGATGCATCAGCGATGTTGCAGCACACCAGCCGCGACGAGCCCACAAGCCTCACAAGCCTCTTCAAGCACCCCTCGTCCGCACAGGGAGCGCAAGCTCGAAAGACAAGCGTCCCAGTGGCTTGCCATTCGGGTGACCTTCCTTCATCGCGGCTACTCGAGGTGGTAAGACAAGGCGTATGGTCATGAAGTTCGAGGGAGTGCCTAGTGAGGCCCCCAGCTTGAAAAGGAAGTGCATCCCAGTCGTCAGACTGTGGAATGATGTAAGCTTCGGATCATCGATGCTGAGCGAATTTCCAGCCAGAGCCAAAGGGTGAATAGGGACCGCCCTCCGCTTGCGGAACTGTTGCGGATGCCCAGATTTCCAGTCATACACCCTGAAAAGATTCCGAGCCAGAGCCCCGTTTTGATAAATACCCGCCCTACATCCGCACATGTTGCAAATTGTGAGACGAATGAGACGAACCTGCGTGGCGCAAATGCGACAGCCATGTGTTGAAAAAGGACCGCCCTGCATCCGTGTAGGTGTTGCCGGTGTCTCGGACGGACGGGTGCGCATGGTGCGAGGGCGAGAGCAATGTTTTGATATCGGCCCGCCCTCCATATGTGTAACTGATTGACGCCATGTACGACGAATGGTCGCGACGCTGAGGCGAGAGCCACATGTTTGAGCACTTGCCGTTTACCATCAGTGCACCTGTTGGAAATTTGGAGCTTCAGCAGCCTGAAACGGCGACGGAGACTCGGGAGAAATGCTTCGTCCGCCCTCCCGAGGAACGCCTGGTGGCGCGACGAGGAGGGGACATTTCTCGAGAAGAGGGTTAGAGGGGGAGGAATATTTGGAGGAGGAGCAGGGGGAGGAGGAGGAGGAGGAGGAGGAGCAGGGGGAGGAGGAGGAGGAGGAGGAGGAGGAGGAGGAGGAGGGGACCGAGACGTGGGGCAAGAGGAGTGCCTTTCAGGCAGGGGAAAAGATAGAGGAGGAGGGGAAGTGAACGAGGATGGTTTTTCGTTTGACTGTTGGGCACCCTCGCGCGCAGCGGTTGGAGCGAATGGCCATCTTGAGCTGGCCTTGACGCTGGGCGGACCACCCCTCTCCCTTTCAAATAACCCTTTCCCGTCGCACCATCAGTGCAGCCAAGACGCTGAAATAAGGAACGCTTCGGTCTCGGGAGGGGCGTTGGTCTTCGGGCCGCACCCTCCGATCTGGGTCACGGAGTCTGATCGTGGCCGGGGGTCTGGACGTGGCCAGGAACGCCCGTTCGCTCTTGATTCAGCGGTCCTCGCGGTAGCACGATGGCTGTGGGGCGGGCGGTACGTTTCGCGTGAGAGTTCCTCACCCTGCCTACCCCTCATGACCCTGAGGCTGAAAAATCCGACAGCGGCACGGGTAGAGGGCAGGTGCTTCTCAAGATGTTGTCCTCGCCCTGGCGCCGCGCACGTTCGTTCACAGGTCGCCGGACATCCATACGCGCGGCGGGCGGGTGATTTTCAAAGTGTGGCTCTCGCCTCGGCGTTGCGCACATTCGTTGCAAAAGCCTCCAAGGATCAGACACATGGACGGCGGATGGCGTTTCAAGTGTGGCTCTCGGGCTACAGCTGCTGACACCCGTGTAGAATACGCCAGCAGCTACACAGGTGAAGGGTTGCTCCTATGTCAAGGTAGAGTTATCCTTTTTGTGTACCCTTCCAACGGTAGATGACCAAAAGGTCGAATGTGTGCAATAGTAGAACGGTGGGAGACGGCTCCCATCCTAAATGTGGCTCTTGGCTGATACATCCTCAACAAGGCATGGCCACATGCGAAAAGCCTGCGCAGCTGCCACTCGGACGAAGGGCGGCCCCTCTTAAAAACGGACTGCCGCTGTGGACAGCTCCAAACCCTCTGGTCGCGCATGTTGTCGCTCCATCCTGCTAAGAGGATGTGCTTGGCATCGCTCAAACGTGGGCATGTTTCTCTCGGCGAGGACCATCGAGGAGCATCCTTGCTCGTCGAGCTGAAAAAAGAGAAAAACAAAAAACAAAAAACAAAAAACAAAACAAAAAAAACAAACAAACAACAAAAAAAAAAAAAAAAAAAAATGTGGGGCGGCTCCTTTTTCAGCCCTGGCCTCCTGCCTGAGCGGCCGGCTCCTGGGGCGCTCGCCTCTCCAGAGGGCGCCTCTGGCAGTCAGAAGCATGTCTTCTCTTGGCATCGCTCGGACCTGGGTATTCTTCCTTCGGCGGGCACCAGCGAGGAGCATCCTTGATCATTTGGCGAAAAACCCACGCACGAGACCGAAAAAAGCACAGGGAATGGACGTCCGAGCGATGGCCAGCTGGGGGCCTGTGATAAAAGGGGGGGATTTGCGGCTCGATGGTGCACTGCAGCATCGTGGATGCACCCTCGGTTTGTTAGGATCCTCCTTTCGGCGCTCGAGCGGGTCGGTCTTGCGGGTGCCTCCGGCGAAGGCGGGGGTCGTTGTCGCATGCACGAGCTGTGCGCCCCTTTCTGGCTCCTTTCCTGCGCTTCCTTGGGAAGATGCCATCGTCAGCTGGTCGGTTTGCCGGTGCGCGTGGCGGGGCAGCATTGCTCTGGCGATCCGCGGTTTTCAGGATAGCACGGTCATCGTCGCCTGGTGGACGCAATGAAAAGAAAAATCCTCGAAAAGAGAAATCCTCCTCCTCCTCGAAAACAGAAAGGACAATCTCGAAAAGAGATATCCTCCTCCTCCTCCTCCTCCTCCTCCTCCTCCTCCTCCTCCTCCTCCTCCTCCTCCTCCTCCTCCTCCTCCTCTTCCTCATCCTCCTCATCCTCCGCATGATTCAGGCACATCTGACTAGCGCAAGGTCGTGGAAAGTTAGCGAGGCAGAGACGAGGAGGACAGAGGTCCGCCACCAAAGCGTCTCAGCCCAGAGTGTCTCCCATTCGCGCTGCACAGACATTGGCGGGGTGACCGTTTCGTCGATGGATGTGCTCGCTGGAAAAAAAAATAGCACACGATCGACCTGGGGCCTGTGCACCGAGGTTCTAGGTATTGGACTTGCCCGGACACGGAACTGGGAGGCGACGTGGTGGAAGAAGTGGAGAGG